TCAAAATGTGAGTGCAATGGTTTCTAATGCAACAATTACAACATGTATATAGCAACAATCAATCTTTAGTAATCAACAATGGGCAATTTATCTACTAAAAATTCAAGATCAGGGGAAAAACTCGTGGGTAGGGCTCCTACCCAAGAATAGAGCAAAAATGCACCACCAAATCAAGAAATTAAAAGTAGAAAAGAGTGATTGTTGTTACCTTGTAGGTTTAGGAAGTGAATGGAGAGGAGAACCAGAGGGTTCGGACCTGGGGTACCTTGGGCGAGTGAGAGATTGAGAGAAAATTATGAGTTTGGGGAGAAAGACGGACCACTGGTCGCGATTTTAACCCTTCTGTTCTGTCGCGTCTCGACGCATCGAGCCTATGGCTCGACGCGTCGAAAATTTCCAGTAGGGAAATTTTCGAGGCACGTTGGTTTTGACGCGTCGAGAACTGGGCTCGACGCGTCGAAAATTTCCAGTAGGGAATTTCATCAAATCAGTGGGAGCTCGATGCGTCGAGCCTTGGGCTCGACGCGTCGAAAAATTCCAGTGTGGAATTTTCCCACCTAAGTCGATTTTTGGCCTTTTTTACTTAGTCGAAAACAACCCCTATACTGCTGTTTGCCACAGAAACCAGAAAAAACACTCAAATTTTGTAAAACGAACTAGAACGAAATAATTAGCACGAAATAAAAATGCGATAAATTAAAAGATAACATGGGGTGCCTCCCATGGAGCGCTAAGTTTAACGTCGCTAGCTCGACTGTACCTCCTTTCAGGTGTCACATGTAGGTCGGAAGATGGAGACAATGTATCACATTGACCCTAGGTTCCTCGGGTGAATAGTAGCGCTTCAACCTTTGCCCATTGACCGTGAATTCATCTTGTGTTCCTTGAAGCACCACGGCACCCGATGGATGTACCTTAATCACTTTGTGTGGCCCAGTCCACTTAGATTTTAATTTTCCTGGGAATAATTTCATCCTTGAATTGAATAGAAGGACGTCGTCTCCTGGGACAAATTCTCTCTTTAGAATGTGCTTGTCATGCCACCTCTTGGTCTTCTCCTTGTAGATTTTCGCATTGTCATAGGCTTCGAGCCTGAATTCATCAAGTTCGTTTAGTTGATGCAGCCTCTTCTCACCTGCGAGTTGCAAATCCATGTTGAGCGTCGTGACTGCCCAATGGGTTTTGTGTTCTAACTCCACGGGCAAATGACAAGGTTTCCCATAAACAAGTCTGAAAGGTGAAGTTCCAATAGGATTCTTGAAAGCGGTCCTGTATGCCCACAATGCATCATCGAGCTTTGCGGACCAATCTTTTCGAGATGGATTGACCACCTTCTCAAGAATGGATTTGATTTCTCGGTTTGACAGTTCCACTTGACCATTGGCCTGGGGATGATATGGTGTGGAGAGTCTGTGATGAATTCCATACTTCTCAAGAACTTTCCCCAACGCTCTGTTGCAAAAATGTGTCCCATTATCAGTGATCAAAGCTCTTGGTACCCCAAACCTTGCAAAAATATTCTTCTTGATGAACTTAATAACAACCTTGGAATCATTAGTAGGACAAGCAATGGCTTCAACCCATTTGGAGACATAGTCTACTGCCACTAAGATGTATTCATTACCAAACGACTTGGGGAATGGACCCATGAAATCCAAACCCCAGACATCAAATAGTTCCACCTCAAGAATACTTTGTTGAGGCATCTCGTTTCTCCTTCCCACCGCGCCTACTCTTTGGCACTTATCACAACGAGCTATGAAAGCATGTGAATCTTTGAATATACTGGGCTAATAAAATCCTGACTGTAAAACCTTTTGCGCGGTTCGAGAAGGTCCAAAATGCCCTCCATAAGGCGATGAATGACAATGCTTTAAGACACTTTCCACCTCGTCCTCGGGCAAGCATCTTCTTAATATTCCATCTGCACATCTCTTGTATAGAAACGGTTCATCCCAAAGATAGAATTTTGCATCCGTTTGTAATTTCTTCTTCAATGACCTAGAAGCGTTTGGTGGAAATTGTTGGCAAACCACATAATTTACCAAGTCCGAATACCAGGGCATAAAAGCACGAAGAGCCATCAGTTGCTCTCCCACGAAGTACTCATTGATTGGAACCTTTTCTCCTTCAGCCACTTCGTTTTGATTCTCTAATCGGGACAAATGATCAGCTACAAGATTTTCCATTCCCTTCTTGTCTAGGATCTCCAGGTCAAACTCTTGAAGCAGAAGGGTCCATCTCATCAGTCTTGGCTTGGATTCCTTTTTGCTCATCAAGTACTTCAATGCCGAGTGATCGGTATGGACAATGACCTTGTATCCGTTTATGTAGGACCGAAACTTATCAACAGCAAAAACCACAGCCAGCATCTCCTTTTCTGTTGTGGCATAATTAACCTGAGCCGCATCCAGAGTACGGCTTGCATAGTAAATTGGGTGTAGGCACCTGCCCTTCTTTTGACAAAGGACGGCCCCCACAGCGTAGTCACTAGCATCGCACATAATCTCAAAAGGTAAGTCCCAATCTGGCGGTGACATTATGGGAGCTGTTGTCAATGCCTTCTTCAATCTGCAGAAAGCTTCAAGGCAAGCATCATAAAAAACAAAGTTAGCATCTTTTAAAAGCAATTGAGTTAAAGGTTTAGAGATTTTTGAAAAGTCTTTGATAAATCTCCGGTAGAACCCTGCATGGCCAAGGAAACTCCTTATTCCCTTTACCGAAACCGGTGGTGGCAGTTTCTCTATGACTTCCACCTTGGCCGGGTCAACTTCAATGCCCTTTTCTGATATCTTGTGTCCAAGAACAATCCCTTGTTGTACCATGAAGTGACATTTTTCCCAATTAAGACAAAGGTTTGCTTCTTGACACTTTCCTAGTGCCTCATCCAAATTATCTAGACAATTATCAAACGAAGAACCATAGACGGAAAAATCATCCATGAAAACTTCCATAGTCTTCTCAACTAAATCGGAAAAAATGGCTAACATGCACCTTTGAAATGTAGCTGGTGCATTACATAACCCAAATGGCATCTTTCGATATGCAAAGGTGCCATAGGGGCATGTAAACGTAGTCATCTCTTGGTCGTCAGGGTGGATTGGGATCTGAAAGAACCCCGAAAAACCATCAAGAAAGCAAAAGTAAGAGTACTTAGCCATCCTTTCAATCAACTGATCAACAAACGAAAGAGGAAAATGATCCTTCATGGTAGCGTCGTTCAACTTCCTGTAGTCCGTACACATCCTCCACCCAGTGACTAACCTGGTAGGAATGAGCTCATTTTTCTCATTGCGGACTACAGTTGTCCCCCCTTTCTTTGGGACCACGTGAATAGGGCTGACCCACTTACTGTCAGGAACAGGATAAATGATGCCAGCTTTCAACAGTTTCAGGATCTCTTTCTTCACAACCTCCTGCATCGTAGGATTTAACCTACGTTGGTGCTCAACACTGGGTCTACGCCCATCCTCTAAGTTAATCCTGTGCATGCAGTCGGAAGCACTAATTCCAACAATATCATCAATAGTGTATCCAATGATTCTCTTATGTTTTCTTAACACATCTAATAACTTTTCCGTTTCCTCATCTTTCAAATGCGCACTTACAATTACTGGGTACGTAGAATTTGGACCAAGATAAGCATACCTCAGGTTTGTTGGTAAAGGTTTTAATTCTACCTGTGGTGGTCCCTTTTCCTCAAGGTTACAGGCAAGGAGTGCTAGTGGCAATTCCTGTGATACCTCTTCATTCGTGCCATCCTCCAGGCATTCATTCCTTGTGGAATCTTCACCTTCGAGCTGTAAAGGGTCATTGGAGATCCATTTACCCCTCTCATAAGTTGCAACACATGAGTCGATTTCGTCTACATAGAAGCAAGAATCAAGACAAGAAGATTTGTTAGCCAATTCAAAAACATTAAATTCAACTTTGTCCTCGCCAATCTCAAGAACTAAAGTTCCTTTTTTGACATTGATTATAGCTCCAGCGGTTGCCAAGAATGGCCTCCCAAGGATAATAGGAATTTTAGCATCTTCTTCCATCTCTAAAACCACGAAGTCTCCCGGAATGTAAAATTTGTCAATCTTCACTGGCACATCCTCCAGAATTCCGATAGGATATTTCACTGATCTGTCCGCCAACTGAAGAGTTATGGATGTAGGCTTTGGCTCTCCAAGTCGCAGCTTTTGGCACAAAGAGTAGGGCATCAAACTCACACTTGCCCCTAAATCGCATAAAGCTTTTTGAACAAGTGATCCTCCAATAACACAAGGGATAGAGAAACTCCCAGGATCCCTAAGTTTTGGAGGAAGCTTGTTTTGAATTAAAGCACTACATTCTTCACTTACTGCTACTGTCTCCCGATTCTCAGCTCTCTTCTTGTTGGACAAAATCTCCTTCAAGAACTTAGCATACGAGGGAATCTCGGTCACAGCATCAATAAAAGGAATGGTGATATCCAGTTGCTTGATCAAACTGTAGAAGTTTGCTCTTCTTTCCTCTTCCCTAGATTTCTGGAATTTTTGTGGGAAGGGTAGAGGTGGTGTATGCTTCTTTGCGGGTTCAATTTCTTGTATCTCATCCTCCTTATCTTGAGCAATAACACCCTCATTCACTTTCTCATTATCACCCCCTAGATTCTTCCTGACCACCACTTGTTCCCCATTTGGATACGGTGGGTCCAATAATTGCTTCCCACTCCTAGTGGTGACAGCGTTCATGTGTTCTCTTGGTTGTTCGGGCATAGCTGGCAACTTACCAGTGACTTTAGTACTTGATATAGATGGTTGATTTGCTAGCTGATTTTCAAACATATTTTGGCGAGCGTCCATCCGATCCAACCTCTCTGTAACCTCCAGCTGTCCTTTAACCAGTTTTTCCAATAATAATTCCATATTCGACTGGACTGGTGCTTCCGCATTAGGTTTGGACTGATTTACTGGACCCTGATATCCTTGGTTCTGCCTGAATTGCGGTTGATGATTTCCTCTAAAATTTTGCTACCCCTGGAATCCTGGTGGTTGACTTCTACTGTTTAAGTACTGGGGATTAGCCGCCCCAGCTGGATTACCCCAAGAGAAACCAGGATGATTCCTCGATGCATTCGGATTGTAGGTTCCTCGCTGCTGGAATGCCGGTTGAATACCACCATACCCTACCACATCAACTTGTTCCATTGTAGCTTGAGAATCAACACTGAGACACTCCTCGGAATTGTGCTCTCCTCCACACAACTCACACCTCAGTACAGGTCTTGAAGGAGTAGGAGCTTTAGAATCGTAACCCGAAGCTTGATTCTTGATAGTAATCTGAGCCAACTGCTGAACTAAGGTGGCCACATTGTCGAACTTAGCCGATAGAGCGGATATCTGATCAACTTCAGACACGCCTCCTATCAACCTCTGGGGAGACCTCTCTGAATACCAAGTCGTCCCATTCATCGCAACCTTCTCCAATAATTCTTCAGCTTGATCTGGCTCTAGGATTGTAAATGATCCTCCCGCTGAAGCATCGACTAGGATTTTTGAATTGTCCAGAAGTCCCTCATAGAAAGCCATCATTAAATCCCAATTCTGAATACCGTGATGAGGACATTGTATCCTCATCTCTTTGAATCTCTCCCATGACTCTGCCAAAGACTCACCAGCTAACTGTCTGAAATTCTGAATAGATCTCCTCATTTTCTGAGTCTTAGATATGGGAAAAAATCTCTTAAGGAACTCTCTGTGCAACTGGTCCCAAGTTTCAAAGTAGTTCGCCGGATAAGAGGCAAGCCAACTGTTGGCTTTGTCCCTTACAGTGAATGGAAAGAGGCGGAGCTTGATAGCATCTCCCGGGACTCCGTTAATTTTGAAAGTGCTGCAAATCCTCAGAAATTTTGCAATGTGAGCATTAGGGTCTTCCGTTGGTGCCCCACCAAAAGGATCCGAAGCAGCCATCTGAATTATAGCCGGTTTTATCTCAAAATTATTAGCATCAACCCCTGGCACATTGATACTTCCATGTCCCGCTGCATCTGGAGCAACGTAATCTGAAATGGGCCTCCCAATGCGTAGTGGTTGGTTGACTCCCTCTCCACCGAGAGCCGGATTGTTCTGATTCGCGTTGTTCGCCATCCTAACCTGTTTTCTTAAGAACTTGGCTCGCTTTTCGATCTCTGGGTTTAAAGGTTCTAGTCCTTCGTTCCCTGAAGAGCGAGTTCGCATATAACACCAAGTCTGCTGATAACAGAAACACAGCTCAACACAAGAAACTCGTTATCGATTAGCGAAAATAAGAAAAACAAATTAAAATAAAAGAAAAGAAAATTAAGAAACTAGACTCCAAAAATAAAACTTTCACTAATATTAGCACGTAGCGCCACCTCCCCGGCAACGGCGCCAATTTGATGCGTAGTATATTTGCAAACAAATAATACCCGGAGTATTCGGGTAGTCGAACCACAGGGAGATGGGGTACTAAATACTAATTACTCGCTTACTTACAAGAGCTAGTCTGATCGAAACTTGATGGTTGATTGGTTGCATAAAATAACGAGCAAGAAATTAAACAAATATTAAGGTTTCGTAAACAATAGAGCAAAAAGGGATTCTTGGGATCACAATGTTTAATCACCTAGTGCCAATTAACATTTGTAATACTTGGTTCGGAATTAAGATCTGTGTGGGAATGCAAGGTGGAATCGAATTACTCCCGTAATCTCTATTCCTAGTGAATTTCCACTCCCGTGGCTTAAACACCCGATAAGATCGAAGATAAGCATTCAATTATTCCTAATTACTACCATCTCCCGATGAGTAACAATCTGGAATTAACTTCCCCTAATAAGTTCCCCTTTCCCAAGGTCTAACTATCAGGTGCAATCGTGTGTGCCCTAGTTTATGCCCCAATTCCCATTGGTGACACAAATATGACTATGAAGCTAGTAATTTAGGCCTCTAATTACCAACAACAACAGGTTAAGTTAAGACTGCAACACAAATCATAAAACCAAACATAAATATATTAAGAAACTAACGAACAAGGCACATAGGTTCATAAACAAATTCACCCAAAAAAATCCCTAAAGAATCTAGCCACTCATGGCCATAATAACAGTAAAATCAATGCTCAAAGATAAACAAATACCAACGAGGATAAGAGTAAGAGTGAAAGAGTTCTCCCAAATCTTTCTAGCTAATTCTCTATTCCAAAGCTAGTTGTAAATCTTCAAGTTGGTCCTCTTTGTGCTTTGCTCTTGATTGCCTTCAAAACACCCAAATCGCAGAAGAAGAGAGAGGCTAGGGTTGATAGAAGATGGTCTTTTTATAGTCGAACCCTGATGGCAACAATTTAGGAGTCCTTTAAGTCAACAGCTGCCCGCGACCTCGACGCGTCGAGCCTCCAGCCTGTGCGATGTTTGAGGCTACTGGAAATTTTCGACGCGTCGAGGCATGGGCTCGACGCGTCGAATTGCTGATGCTTTGGCTTCTTCCTCTTTTGATCATTTCGTGCTTGAAGTTCTTCCCTTGCTTTCACGCTCACCCTGTAATGGTGAAGAAAAACACTACCGAACACCGTAAGACATTCAAAACAAGTGTAAAAACATAATCTAACGAGAAAGCAAGGAAAACAAGCAATAAATGGACATGATTCAATAACTTTGTTTCTAAAATGAATCAGAAAAGCTATAAAAACATGCACAGATGTGATAACATCACTGATCTATTTACAAAACCCCTGGATAACACAAGATTTGAAAATTACTTCGGGCTGCTCTCGAAGTGTGCAGGTTTTCCATCTAAGTTTTCTTTGTGTGCAATAATAACGTTTTTATGTTTCTTTGTTTTGTGGTTGTTGTTTTCCCCTTTCAGGTTTAATCCAGAAAATCCTCCAGATCTGCTATCTGCTCCAGTCTGTCCTCCAGACCGGAAAATATGTCTATTTTGACCGCACTATATGTCTTTTTTTATTATTAATTCTTTCTCTCTCCTGGTTGTTATACACCATCGCCTTCTTCCCCATTTATTAGAATCCAATCCCTAAAATCTCTCCTTTCTTCTTTAAATCCTTCTCAAATTTCCCTTCTAAAATTCTAATCCTTGACAAAATCTACATCAAATCTAATCGTTCTCTCACAATGGCTGGCCATTCTGATCTCAATCCTTTCCTTTTTTTACCTGACTGAGGATGAGCGATTGGATCTTTATCGCCAAATCCTTCGAGGCATAGCTCCGATTTCGGATCTCGCATCTCGCTGTGTTCTTGCAACTCTGCTTCGAAATCCAGCTCTAATGGAGGAATTATCCGTGCGAGATTCAAAGGAAATTTTTGCTAGAGCTACGAGAATCACTGATGATCCTTGGCCTCTTGATGAAGTGTTCGACGAAGGTGATCTTCAGGCAGAGCTTCGAGCTCGACAGCTACGAGCTCAATCTACGGTTTGATTTCTTTATCCTCTTAGGAAGAAATCACTTGTTGCTATTTTCTAGGCATGCATCGCATCCTTGTGTTCTAATTTGCTTTTATCGCTTTGGTTGTGTGTTGGCTGCTTTGTGTTGTTGCTATACTTTGTGGGCATAGGATCCCTCTGCATGTCTGTCTCTTGTGCCTCTGTCCGCAATTGCTTTCACAGGTTCCCTACCACAACGCTCAGACGAGGCCATTCCCAAAATGACTGAGCACTCGCAAGATCCAGCCTCAGCTACAGCATCTACTCCAGTCACTACTCCAGCTGCTGATCATGCCTCTGCTCCAGGATCTGTTCTAGAGGATGTTGGGGTTTCTATTCACGACATAGTCTCTGAGCCTGAGGATCCCTTTGTTCAAGCCGCTATTATGTCTGATATCATTGCCAATATGCCCAATACTGCCCGTGCACAAAGGGCTATCCCAGTTATCACTGTGCCGTTCGCATCTTCTAAGGCCAAAGGGAAGGCCAAGATTACTGATCCAGATGAAACTCCAGTTGCGCCTGTCCCAGCACCAGCGGCTAAGCAAAAATTAAATTTATCTGAAGATGTTGAATTTGTGTCCGAGACTCGCCCAAGTAAACGCTCTGAACGTCGTCTGACTGGCCTTGCTCTGCGTACTAGATCGAGGACTGGCATGTCTACTCCAGCTTCTGTTCCTTCTCCAAAGCCAGCCGCATCGTCTAAATCCAAGACCTCTAAGGTATCCAAGGAGACAATGTTCAGGCCTATTCTGCTTTCTCCTGCTCTGGAATCACTATGGCAACAACATTCGAATCGTGACATCCTTGTTGAGAAGAATTTCAGTATTGAGTATCTCATCCGCACGTGCAACATCATTCCTCTTCTTCGTGCTCAAAATCTTCTTCAGACTATTCAGAATGTGGGTGCCTACTCTGCAGGGCTAATTCCGGAATTCTATGCAAATCTCCAGTCTGATTCTCTCCTACCGGCTTCTCCGCACTATCATCAGGTTTTCTTGAGGGATGTTTGGTATGATTTCAGTCCCTCTATTATTAATGCTTATTTTCAGCGTGATGCTTGTGATGATCTATTTGAGCCTGCTGGAGACTTTCTTGCATCGCATCTTACTCACAATGAGGTTACTGTCTGGTCGAAAGATGGTCTTCCTTCGAATGTTCTTACGGCTGTTTACTCTGTTATGTTCCGTTCAGCATCAAGCAACTGGATTCCAAATGTTTCTGTGCATACCATCACCAAGAAAATGGCTTCTCTGTTGTACAAAGTCAGGCATCAACTGCCCATTGATCTTGGTCATCTTATTTATCATCACATTATGAGCTTTGCTAAGAACAAGGAAGCCAAAATTCATCTCCCGTTTCCATGTCTGATCACCGGGATTCTACAACAACAAGGTCTACAACTCTATTCCAACGAAGAGCTCTGACATATCACTCACAAGACATCTATGGACTCTCGCATCTTCTAAAGGTCGCACTATGATGATCGGGCCACTCTCTCATCCATTCCACCTGCTCCTGCTCCTGCTGATCCACCAACTACAAGCATCGACTCTACACCGACTGTTTCTGCTGCTGAATCTGCTTCAACACTGGTTGTACTTAGACAGCAAGTTACCTTTCTCTCTTCGCACATTTCTACCATGAAGGATGCCTTTCTTGCCCTTCAATCCTCTATCACTACTGCCGAGGCTCAGCTGCTCCGCGCCAATCGTCACATTGCCTCTCTTGAGAATGTCCCTTCTGCTGCTCCTGCTGGTGATGATGAAGCCTTAGAGACCTCCTCCTCCTCCACCCAGTCCTGATGCTGCTCTTTGTCCATTAGTTTGACAAAAAAGGGGAGTGCATGTAGTAAGGGGGAGTGTGTGTTTTTGTGAACTGACCATGAGTGCCAGTGAATAATGTGCTATCTGATAAGGTTATGTGGTTAGAAATGTGATAACGTGCTATCTTTTTGCTTTGTGCTTTGTTTTGCCTTGACTCTATGATAAATATTAAGTTGTTTTCCTATGTGAAATATATGTGTTTTAATGTGCTTGTGTGCTCTAAATGTGTTTGCATTCTCTGGCACATCATTGGTTAAGTCTAAGAAAGGTGTGTGTCTAGCTACTCCTGACTAGTGACTAATCCGCTTGTCAAAGTTGTAACTCTTTACTCATCTGGCAATTATTTTATTCTTTTAAAAGCCGATGAGATCTTTTTGGTAGTTTTGTCAACTAATAGCCAAAGGGGGATATTGTAAGTGTAAATATGTTGCACGTTTAAACCTCTTAATATTGGCTTAGATTAGTTGTCAAAGTAGTTCTGGATTAGTCATAACGTCTGGAGTAGTTGACTGATCAGCGCGAGAAAGTAATCCAGGAGGTATAAAGCTTCTTCAAATCTTTTATTCAAGACCCTATCAAAGAGGTGATCTAAATCTACTGGAGCAGCCAAAATCAAGAATGGAAAGAGTGCTTGAATTGTGGATCGAAGGATCCCTTACTACCTATATAAAATGCTACTTTGGTTAGCATTTTCCCACGCACTTTTTCACATTGTTTTACTCTGAAATTCTTGGTTCATCTATACCAAATATATACTGTATTGTTGAGTGTGAAGAAAGGCCCGTAATCAGATTATGAAGCAATGAAGATTGCCTGCACATCGAATCCACTGGAGTAGGTTCTGGAGTAGTTATAGGTTATACTTTAGTGTGTAATTAACTCTCCTTTAGTACTCCGTTTTTATCATAGTGGATTTGGGTTAATGTGAGTAGCCCCGCAGACGTAGGAG